TCATGACATTCATTGCAATTCCCACAATGTAACATCATTCTTCCCACTTCCTCCCTGTGTTTACTGTTTTCATCTGTCTTTCTTTCTTTCCTATCCTTCCTGACTTCTGAGCTTTATCCCTGGGTAAATGGTGCCCTTTTGATCTCATATGGGAGACTGTTCTTACTTACCTAACTTTTCTTAAGACTTAAATTACACAAAGCCTAAATTAAGACATTTTATCCATGGGAAAATAAAGTTTGGCAAGGAAACAGAATTTTACAGTGACACAGATAGAATGCTGGTAATGGTCTCTATTGAAAGAATAGGCAATATCTCAGACTCAAAATTGAAGAAAGATCTGGAGTACAGTCCATAACTTTGAGATATATTATTAGATAATAATTTACTCTCTTTTGTTATTTGGTCTCTGTGGTGTAGTAAAATCACATAGTGTGGCTCTTCTAGCTATAAGTCTTTGTAAACTCCATGACTGAACAACTGAGTAGCTCCTGATTGTTAAAGTTACCCATGTGGGGTATTTCTGTTGAGAGTGGCATGAAGCAATCTTCTGGGAAGTTCTCTCTCTCTCTCTCTCAGGTGTATAGAATTCTGATGTTGGGATTGCTTAGTTTGGCCACTCTGCCAGGCTCAAAAGGAGCCCTCCCAGAGGCAGAAGCAATAGCTCACTGCTGGCTGAGACACGAAAGACACACACTGGTGAGAAAGACCTCGAGAGTCACGCACTCCTGAAAGAGACACTTAGAGACATGCACTGCTGAGAGAGACCATCGGCTGAGAGATGGTGGGCTGAGAGAGACTGTGCGTGTTCCTGAACTTGAATTGTAGCCTGTTGCTTCCCTAATAAACCCCATAATCTGCAAGTTCTGTGTGGCCACTGCAGCAAATTATCGAATCCAGCAGAGAGGTGGTGGGTGCCGTGGGAGGAATGGTTGGTGTCAGGGTTTTTGAAAGGGCTGGAGGGAGGCAGCATGTCTGGCCTTGCAGGAATAGGCTTTAGGCTACTGATGGTGATTCTGTCTTCCTCTTGTGGGGTTAGAGGAGGTCATAAAGTGTGTCCTCCCTGCCCCTTTGGCAGTCTCCCTTGGGAACACAATTGCTTGAAAAATTTATTAGTGAAAGGTTAAAAAACAAACAACAACAACAAAAAAATCCCAAAATTTAGCTAGCAATTTAGTGACCAGTTTTTTGTTTTCTTTCTTTTTTTTTTTTTTT